GTTGACTCTGACATGTCAAATTACTAGGGACAAACATTGAATCAGTTGTTATTAAATCGTATACATTTCCATGTGACAGGAATTAAGACAAGTTTGTAGGAATTGAGGTGAGCCAAACATGGCTGTAATCTGGTAGAAGTTTACCGACTTTTCAGAGGTCCTTGCTGCCTCCATCATCAGGGCGATCGCAGGGCACAACATCCCAGAAGGCAGCCATATTTATATTCAACGCCATGAGAACATTAAATCTCACCTAATAATTGTTCAAATGATCAGCTAGAATATTAAAATAATGAATTTAAAATTGTATGGATTATCAGTTTAATAGACAAAGCTAATCTGATGACGTAGTTACAAATGTTTTTCTTATACCATCTGGAACAAAAATTGGCCCAAATCTCGGCAATCGCTCGCCAACTATGTAACCGATTACGTGTATGGTTAAGTTAAGAAAAAAAATATAGCTCATTCTTTACTGAATATTTTATAGGACTATTACGCCATACAAAAATTTAAAATTACTCAGGCTTCAGATCAGAAGAAAATAAAATGTCCTATATAATTTCGTCGTCTTGCTCGCTCTGTGGGCCAAGACGTTTACAGTCAAGTAAAATAGCCTAAGGCCATGTCATTTGCATCGAGAAACTTCGAAAAATCACAATAACTTTACGTAGCTAATCCGAGATTCAAACCTGGAACCTCCAGACAAGATGACAACTTCACAGCAACGTATTTCTTGTTCTAAAAAAAAAAGCAGTCAGTCAGGTTAGCTATATTCTGGGTCGATATTCGAATCCGCGACTTCCAGAGTCAAGGACGAGTGATGTCACTGCACTGAGACTTGAGTGAGTATAAATTCTTCTGCATCAGGTAAGAGCTGGAAACTACACATTTCACCCCAAAAAGCTCATCTATCAAAGACGAAGTGTCCCATGCTGTTTGTGACAATCGATAGCTCGCTCGATTCGACCTCATCTCGAAACTCTATTTTGATTTGAGGTCAGCTGACATGGAACAACCATAAACACGAATTACGCACTGTGGCACCAGAAATATTATTTTTATTTTCATATAATAGTCGTATTTAAAAATAATAAGAGTTACTTAAAAGCAGTGCAGAGCTTTGAATGTCGTCGCATCTGTACACGAGGTTGTTCGAGGCAAGAGATAAAATTAAAGTAAATGTTTGTGGACAGTATAGTCTGTTCACGTAAGGATGGAAACAGATAATTTTCACAAACGTTATGTTATTTTTTGGAATAGCTGACGATATGTAAAATTCAGAAATATATAGGCCTTAAACATATTCAATATAAACTAGTTAGTACCTAAAATAAAAATTACTTGTTACGTTTTCCAATTCTCTTGAACTTTATACTTGGCACATTGCAAAAAAAACGGGGATAAAACACTTAATCCCCTTAAATCACTTAAACACATTAGAAAATTAAAGCTTAAAATTTTCTTAACTAACTCCTGCTCTGTTTTCGGGAGGTCCTAGGTTCAAATCTCGGTCCAGAGACCGGCTGTAATGACTGATGGTTTCTGTGGTTCCCCGAAGTCAATCCAATCAAAAGACAGAATGGTTCCTAAAATTACTGTTTCGGACACTGAAAATTTCTAAATTTATACGATTCTTAGCTAATATTGGATGATTTTACAAAATTAAAAAAATTTCAAATTTGTTTAAAATTTAGTTGTGGCAAATTACTGGCAATATTATAAACGCCAAATATCACTTTTGCACCATAATTAATTTATGACGAAAGATTATGATTTGTGAATTGGATAAGAAATTTGGTGTCTATTTGTACGTCTTACCCCAAAATTTGCCTGCATAGTCAACATAGTCGATCACCAGGTCAAGACTCGAACCCGCGAACCTAAAACTTTCACGTTCATTTATGAAAAATACACAGTTCTCTGATTTGTGCTGTCTTGGCCCACTAAAATAAAATGGATGCAAGATTTTGGCCATAAAATCTAAGAGGCAGATTGTGTTCTATTCCCATCCGTATACAAGGATAATATTAAGATTAATTTTATATAAAAAGGAGTGAGATCTTAAAATAGGTTTAGCAGCTCAGGACTAGATGCAGTGGTGTCCTTTGTAAATACAATAGTTAATATTAAGGAACCTTATTTCTTGCCTGACTGGGAGAAGAACACATCCTCATTAAGGGTTCTGCCCCGAGTACGAATGTCAGATAAATAATTTGAAGTTTTGCACGACAAATTCTCTCCATCGACGTCCTGACCTAACGAGTAGTAACTCAAAAGTTAGTGACGTATTCTTCCCCAACGGAACTCGTTGCATAAACGCGATGCAAATTGTTATAAGCGTCGTCTGTATCTCGCTATTTCCCTTGGCGTGAGTGGTGATGACGTCAGCGCGTCTTGGCGAGATATCAGCCACAGAGAACGATCAACAAGGCAGTAAAACCATAAAGAAACATCGTTTCTGTAGACGCACGTGATTTCCACGGAAATCATCACACAAAAACTTCCATGTCCGTTTTAGCAGGGAAAATCCTGAGCGGATGAACAACCAGCAGCGACTTTCTCAGGTTAGTTAGTTCGTTGCTTTGATCAGTTAAACAAATATCTAGCTACACAGTTATTTAGTCAGTCAGTTAGCCAGCCATCCTAACCACTAGTATGTAACATTCGATCTACAAAGTACAGAACGGTCGAAAATTCACTAAACTCATTCCTGATACGTGTTCTATTTGTACATACCCGTAGGGTAATCTACCCTGAAGAGAAAGTTTTCTAGGTGACTTTCGTGGCGAGGATGATTAAGAATCAGCGCCCAAGAGTGATTTGGGCCTCAGCGGTTTTTCTGCCGCATTGATGGAACGCAAGTTTGGCGGATATCGTTCAAACTATCGTCATTTGTTAGCGATGGGCGACCGGACTTGTTTCTGTCCTGCACGCTCCCCGAGTCACAGAATCGATTGACCAGACGGGAGACTATCGATATGTTCAGCACACGAGATACTATCGATATGTTCAGCACACGAGATGCTATCGATATGTTCAGAACACGAGAATCGAGAAACATGTCCCTAACCTCAATATGGTACATTAAGTAAGAGCTAGATATCACGTAATTTTCGACAATGAACACTCGCTGCACTTGTCAATGAGGCATCCATGTGCTTCCATTGTTGAAAGATGACCGACGGACTGACACGAAGATGGTTAAAACATAACGTGACCTGGGTGGACTCCAGCATAGTCATAGTGTTATTGTGTATTAATTAATCCAATTGAACTGTGTTTAATTGCAACCAGCAATCTTTTTTTATTGTGGACTGCATGACTTTTCGACCACTCTGTAACAGCCGAAAGCAGGATCTCAACGCCTTGCCTAATTCCTTTTTGGAACGAACAGAAGGTCATATCAAAGTACTTCTCCAAATAAGATAAGTAACATCATCGGTAAATTCTTATGCCTTCACGTAAAATACGAAACTCGAGTGGGAGCGTGTTCTCCATTTTGCGCTGGCCTTGTTGCACACATCGTAGGCCTTTCTATATGCTGACGAAAATTTTGTTAGCGGGACAAATGTGATGTAGACCTATTTCTTTGTATATAATTTGATATCAACATCACAGATTTACGTTTCTTATTTGTAGGGCACCCGATTTATATAAACTAAATAAATTTCACTCCTAGTGTCATATTTCATGTTCCATTTATTTCGTTACATATTCATCACATTGAAAAATGTTTCAGACGTTCGTGTTTGAGAAAACCGATCTAATTAGATTAGAGTTTAATGACCTAGAAATTGAGAGTTGTGATATATTTGATCTGTATGCACCGTAATTAAAATTCCTTCATCACTTTAACAGGTTCCAAAGTCGAATGTTTATAGTAACCAGATTCTTTGTATTCACTCGAATTTGTGCCCATCGTTTATAACAGGCCTACGATTGGACCAGGTGAGAAATGTGAAGTCTAATTTACAGAGAACTGACGGCTGTAACACATCAGACAAGAACGCCTTATCACAACTAAACATAACCATGATTTGTCCTTGTAGCAACACTTTACCAGTATCATTCTGCGTGCTCATTGCTTACCTAACTTGCCATCGTTACGCTGCACGAAGCACACATATCCCATGAGAACTTCGGGTGGTGACCGCCGTCACATTATGTCGCTACATGCTGGGCACGTCTTATGTTCATTTCATGGCCACTGTAAATGTAGTAGGTCCAAGCAACGAAATTTTGCAGGGACGGAAAAAATTCTACTAATTCTTAATATCGGTGCACTCTTGACGCAATTCATATGCAATCCAAAACATGCATTCTTTAACTTACCTAACCTCCCCACTGCAGCCATTACATGCAGGAGTCGCGGATCTATTTTAAGGTTAATTACAGGTGGCACAAGAACGGTTCAATAACCTTGGCAGGAAAACACCGACTAATACTGAACACCAAAGATAATTTACTGTAAAGAACATAGTAACTGCCTTCTTAAGCCTGGTATATGGCCATTCTCCAGACTAGCCTTTAATGATTAACATTTTCAAACATCATGTTATTGACAAAATAATGTTCCTCTCTGGAGTCTATTACCTCAGCTAATACGCCTACTACTCCCATTAAGCAGAACATGATTTGTCAGGAAAGGTCTGGGACTAGAAAAGTATTTCTGAGTCCAGAAATAGTTCATCCCTTCCCTAAATCTGGGCCAAGACCCAAAAGAAAGTAATCTTCGGACTCACCACTGCGAAAACCTTAAATCTTACTCTATCTATTTCAACGAAAAAGCGGTGCAGTCATAAGGAATTTGTATCTGTTACAAATCCTGAGATCATATGATTATTAGTAAGAATATATTTATTTTATTTGTGTTCAGAAATAAATTTTGCATGTTCAAATGTACCCACCTGTGGTTCAAGTGAATCACTAAAAATGGGGCTCTTTCAAATACATGCAGCTATAAATTAATGTAAAAAAATTAAGTTTAGTACATTAAATAAGTTACGATACAATTTTTATTTTATGTAAAATATGATAAAGTTCCACCCCCTTACTATTAAAAGCCAATCATATATACCTTACATTTAAAAAAATCAAAAGAATGTTCAAATGTGCTCCATCTATTCAAAAACCTGCACACAGTAACTACGAACTGTGTGGAACTGTCAGACAGAATTTTAAATGAACTTCAAGGGAATTTAATAATACGATACTAAAATAACAAAATTAAAATGGGGTAACATACATAAATCTGCCATCTCTGTACCTACAAATTCAACAAATAATGTACAGCAAATTTTTGTATGAAAAGGGTGTTTGAGGAATGAGAAAGAAAACAGATCAAAGTAGTCACGAAGGTAACAAAAAACTGAAAAATACTTTGGTCGCATACTTATACAGCAGCGTAACTCACGCACATTAATCATCTTCCCAGTCTTGTTTTATTCTGAAAACAAAATATATAAAAAGGTTCTTAACGTAAGTGGATGTCACCATAGAACAATACACGTAACGCTCTCTTCTTTTCACACATAATCCTTAAAACCTTTTTTCTGAGTGGAATGTTGAGAACGATCTGTCCTTCCGCTATGCAACCTTCTTCGCAAGTTTCCACGCTCCAATACGATACCATAACCAAATGAGAAAAATATCCTTTCCCATTTGTAACCAACTGAAAACTGGAATCAGTTTAGAACCTGAAAACAATAAACCTTCTATACAACAAAATCAAGTGCACTTGGACTTTCTCTTGATTCCGCAGTAGAATGGTTGTCAACCTGTGAAAAGCAAAGTTAATGTGAAGTTAAAATAAAAAAATCTTAACGTGCCTGACAAATCGACTGTCTAAAGCAAAAACAAACGGCTGTTTGAAATTCCGTGACCCATAAGGTATTCCTGAACGGCAAGCGTTTGTACCTTAAATTTAGGAAAACCTTAAATGAGAGTTTAATAAAAATTAGACAGAAAATTACTCCGTTGATTCTAAAATACTCAGGAACGAATGCCTCAATCTTTACCATGTGGCGATGGCGAGTAAGTGACTTGCCGTATTTCTTGTGGCTCCACGGTTGCTGTTGGTGGTGATGAATTACGCCCTGTTCAAATGAACAATGAACCAGTGTCCAGACTCCATGTCCAAACCCGAATTTAATTCCTCAGATGGAGGCGTGGTTTTGTTGAAGATGGACTGCATGACACGAAATGTTCTGGCTAAAGCCAATTTTGGAACTCGTCTTCTTCTCCGTTCACACCCATCACCTGGCTTACTTAGCTCATCAACAGATGGGGTCACAGGGCTGCGAGTCTATTAGACTTAGCACGTGCGTACGTCTCCATCCGCGCTCATCACTGAATGCCATCCTTCTACCTTCACTACCTTGTCAAGATGAAATTTCAACCAACATTCAGATTTTACCGAGACACTTGGCGTCCCACTTAAATCAGCACGACAACCCAATTTTGGATCACAACTCAGGGGATAAGAACCATTGGTATAGAGGTACTTAATTTAATTACCTTCAATTTCAGTCCAGTTAACTGCTACTTCTGACAAAGGAATTCCAAGTCTCTGCGCAATGTACAGTAATTCCGCATCGAACGCCCTGTAATACAAAGTAATGAAACTGCAAGTGACTTATTCAAACAATCACAAAGTGTGACCAAGCAAACACCAAATGGAGTGTAAGCCCTGATTATATTGAGCCGACTACATTCGGCTCTGATGTTGTGACGGCGAAACTTCGAAAGGGGTGCTCATGCGTGTGGGGAGGTTAGGCCGATTTAGGAGGGAGGGGGCTGATTTGGGGAGACACCGACTCACTCTGGCTACTTTTATGTTTTGTTTGTGATAGTTTTATCAATGACGGCTGGGCACCCCCTGCGAGTTGACCTCGGTTTGTATTTGTTATCATGTTGTGGTTGCCAGTCTGGATAAGTATTGATTTTGTTGTGTTGGTGGACGGGGCAACCGCCGTGTTTTTGGGTTATTCTTGGTCCCTCGGGGTGGTCAAGGCCGGTAAGATGAATTGGAGTGTTGCCGAGAGCAAGCCGAGTCATGGGTTTATTTTTTCCTCTTATATGCTTTGTAGTAGGTTAATGAATGACCACGTGTAACGCGTATGTATTACAATTTGTCTTAAGAAAATATTAGTATTGAATATATTATAGTATGAAATGTTGCTATAAATACTAATACCAAATATATGCCATTACTAATGTGTAAAAGAACAAACAAACATTAAATGTGCCCTGACTGTGAAACAATATAACGGGCAGGCATCTACACTTAAATGACACCTGGGAAAACACATTACATTGCTTGGCGTAAAGCCAGGCAAAAAACATGAACCGAAACCTCTGTGAAGTAGAAACATAAACATCTGTTAAACAAGACTCAAAAGACATACTCTTTGGAGTACACAAATTTGAGATTTTTACAGCGGTGAGTATGAAGATGGCAGTCTTCCAGGTAGCAGCACCACTTAGTACTAGACGGTGTTCTTCACACCGCATCACGAGTGTTGACGTCGGCAGCAAGACCGATGGAATCGCAAGTGCGACTACAGTATCAAAGGCAAACACGGAATCCAGGGGCAATGAAACGACGAGATCCCACGATAATCTTTGTTCACTTGCAGTGATGTTTTCTGACAATGACCTTTGCCCATTGTCGCAGCAATATCTTTCAGTAATGTCAATCCACAATATTACAACAACGTGCTCCAACAATGCCCATGGAGCATCAAGTGCTGTGCGCTTTACTACGAATTGGGATAAATTAAGTAAAAAGGCACAAAAATTTTTTTAAAAAATCAGTATTTTTTGGCAAGACGTTTGATAATGAATGTCCACGGAAGTCTTATCAGCAAGTACAAATGCGACACTTTTAGCTGCAAAAATAATTTCCACAGCTTGCGCTGGCAACAACGAACACGGCCGACTGCCGTTAGCCAAGAGTGAAAATGCGAGTCATGTGCTTGTGTTTGGCGCTTCAAAAGGAATGTTATCGCAATGGAAGCAAAAGATTGCTCAACGTGTCTCCGCCGGCGCACATAAAATTTACGTAGAATTCAGGCAAATTGTGAATATCAGTAGTTACATTCTGCAATGAAGATGAAGGTTATCCATTCTCCAAGACTTTAAGCCCTGTTTTGCATACTTCTGTACTTCTCCTACATTTCTTAACTTAAATAGGTCAGAGTGACTGAAACCTTACCACCTCTCCACGTGTAAACTGCCGAAAGAAAGACGCGCAGCCTCTCTGGTGAAGAGCTTGAAACCGCATTGGGTGTCTCTGATTCCGCGTACTGAAAACAGCCATACTAGGAGGTGGAAGCCATACATGAGAACCGTGCGGAAATACGAGCGGCTGGAGATGGCCTGCTGCTCTAGGTGAGCACGTGAACCGCACACAATTCCCAGACCTGCGGCAACATCATCTGGTGCCGTCAGATAATCACCTGAAACAAAAAACCTCCACAGATCTAAAAAATTGCCACCAAAGTGGCCATGAAAGGAAAATCCACCTTACCTTTCACCACTGAAAGTACAGAAGTCAGTTAATACAATATTCTATCCAGGAAATAGAACCAATATACATTTCCAGAATCTTTCAGAAACACTCATATTTCCTTTAGAAACAGCTGACAATATACAGACTTTAATAAAGTTATGATATTTCAAAATGGCAGCATCTTATAACAACTTACATGCCAAAAATACATTTTATCATCACAAAGCTATGGAAAACAAAAATATTTATAACAGCTGTGGGTGAGCCATGTAGCAACTATGGCAGAGATGAAAAACGTACAAAGTCTTGGGCGGAAAGCCTGACGGGAGTAGATGGCTGTCGAGAGTTAGGCATAGATGGGAGAATAATAATAAAATGGCGGCCAGTGGCAAGGTTTCATAAACATTACAACAAACCTTTGGGTTCCAAAAAAAGCAGGAAATTTCTTAAGTACCTGAGTCAGTATCAGTTTCTTAAGAATTGTGTTCCACAGAGTCAGCATGTTTTAAACCCACTCACTTTCATTACAAGCCTAAACCATTTAAGATACAAACATCTGCAGAGAATTTTCTTTTAAATTATTATTACCTTTAACCAAATCTTTCAGACTAGATTCGAGTTTCGCGAGGTCAGGAAACTTTGTCGCGCCGTCAGCATCAGCAAACAGTATCACAGCTCCTCGAGTACTCTGCACGCCCTGCAACATTACGCTTTGCAATTCCTTCGTGACTCTGCGGAAAATGGTGCACCCTACCTAACAAAGACTGGTCTCAGTTTTAATAAAGAAATTTAACTTGCAGAAGACCTAGGCACAGAGAGAAAGAAATTTTAAAAATTAGTCTCAACACTGCTCAATTTAACCTGGAATAATACAATCAACCACCTTCACAAACACATGACTTCATTTTACAATCGAAGTATTCCACTTAATGCCACAAATATGACTGAACACCTCAACTTAATCTGAATCAAAGTCTCAAAAATCCTATTCACTACGCAAGCGACACATTATAGTGTTTCAAAATGTCTTCCCTGTGACATGTTTCAGAAGGGAGAGTTTTAGTGGGAATCTTTTTGCAAAAGGGCCATTTCAATTCTGAGGAGGTAAAAGGATAACATTAAAATGAATCTTAAGAAAAAAAGGATATGAGTAAAGATGATTGATATACTGTTTCAGGATCATGTTCGACGGTGGGTTTCTTATTACCAGCGTTTAACATCCCGGTTATAATACCAGGGCATTGGTTACTACACAATTCTAAAATAAAACTTTTCAGTACTTCAAACATTCATCAAGTCCAACAAAGGAAACTCGCTTGATGTTCAGTTATCTCAACATACATCTTACCAATCTCACGGCACCACCTTTTCCCCTGTTGGTTTCAAGTTCCAGGACTCTAACAGTGTCAGCTCCATGATTCTTGGCGTATTTCCTAGCTACTTCAGCTGTACCATCTTGACTACCATCACTGACCACTATAACTTCATATGTAAGAGCTGGCCTTCGAGATTCAAGATACTCCAAACACTCATCCAACATTGGCGGAACTGGGGGAAAAAAGTCAGCCGGTCTACGACATAATCTTACGCACCTTTGTAAAATCAAAACACATACTTTTAGTTACAAAACAAGAAAGTTCTTCATCATCACAACAATAAAGACTTGCCATTTTATCTTCGTCTTACACATGGCAAAAAAGTTTCCGTACCAAAAGTACATATACTTGTTTTCTTCCATCTGCTACCTAACATTCACTAACTGAACACTGTGGTCGAGCGGGTAGCGCTCCTGCTACAAGTCTTGGCCTGGAGACTGGCTATACTGACTGAGGATTTTGTAGTTTTCCACAGTCGGTCCAGTAAAATGCCATGACCACTTCCTTCGACATCCTTTCCAATTCATCATTCACTACCATTCTCTAATTCGACACTATGTAGTCTGAGCTACTGAAAAAGTGTTACATAAATCTTTGAAGTCCCCATGTTTTCAAAAACTTACACACATTTTTTGTAAAAAATTATATGATATGTTACAGTTGCCATTTCAGAGGAAACAGGGTGCCCACATTGCTAACGTAGACTAACGGGTGAAGAGCAACCCAGATCAGTGACCTTGAACTTTACTTTAGTTTATTTAATACCAAATACAGTTTGTTTTGCTACCCCAAACTGTTCCATTACCTAGTTACTGAAACACCATTTACATATCCACAAAACTCAAGGTAAAATGTTTCAAATTGACTGCACTTCTACTAAAAGCCATTATCTCAAATAAAACATCTAAATTACTAGGAAGATTCATGAATGACGCACGCAACCTAAGTTATTTTGTCACTCAAGAGCAATGGCTTCTAAACAATGAAACAGTAAACTGTGTTTGTTCAGCTCCTCTCATTTACAAACAGAAATACTTACGTCGAACTTCTTCGTTATATGCTGGTACAACAACACTAAGATGAATGCTCCATGGTTCACTTAGAGAAGGAAATTCACTAGTCTTGCCAGTTATTGGATCTAAAAATGACATTTCTTTCTTTGAACGTAGGACACTCGGGCATGGTTTTGTAGTTTTTACTACAATGATACATACCTATAAAATAACAAAAGCCAATCAGTTTCAATCATGTATGGAACAATTATAAGCTGAAGTCTCTTTTAACATTTACATTCTCACACTTTATACTTACCACCATAAGAACTGTGACCTCATAGGAATTTAAGCATAACTTGTTTAAAAAGCATACAGAGTGATACTTAATTACAAACAATAAATACAAGGATCATATTCTACCCCTAAAATAATGCTAATTTTCCATAAACATATAGTTACTTTGTTAGTAAAATATGGCAACACTGCACACCAGAAATTCTTGGCATCACAGGGTTCAGTCATGCATTCAAATCAAAGGAAAGCATTTTCAGCAACTTTTGTAAATATTCCACAAACATTAAAAAGCTGTTATGTTAAAATAAAATAAACAAATAAATGGACTTCCAAAGTATGTTACATGTCTCACTGATTTCCTAACGCTTCCAATTCTTTCTAACAGTCTTAATGTTTATGAAAGTTGCTGTAAAAATATGGTCTAATTTTGTCAGTTTTCACTATTTGTACACAAAACTATCTTTTGTATATCTACAAGTGAGTGACAATTAAGTCTCATAGCCAGAATGTTTTTTTCTCCATCCTAACCTTCCTCTTGCCTGCAAATCAGGTAACTCACTGCTTCCATACCCTCCTTAACCCCTCTGACCTCCACACCCCAGCCTTCAGCCACAATATCCCCTTTTTTCCACTCCTAGGGTACATCTGTATACATGCTTTCTGTATTATATGGATGTCTCATGATGCAGAAAGATCAGGAAACAGAGGTGAAATACAAAGGTGGTGAGAGCAGTGATAATGTTGTAATAGAACACTTTACTGAATGGTTTCCCTTCTACTGCATGTAATTCATACATTAAGAAATGACATAACCAAGCAACGTTGTGCTTCTAATGTTGGACATCAAAGTCCTTCTTGCATTGTTAATTTTTTGCACCAGTTTCGCACAGATTTTACAACAGACTTGGCAGAAAAATGGTAAATGACTGCTGACTAGCATCATATCTCCTGTAGTAAATTGTCATTACTTGATTGTTACTACAGTGACAATTTAAGTAAAGATCTCGTTTATGTTCCAAAGATGTTTTGATGGCTCTCGTAAACTACTCATTATTTTCAGATATCCTTTTCATTGTTTTGGTGGGAACACTTGCTTCAAATTTTTTTTAAAAATTATTTAAGTATGTGTTGAATTTTGAATCTACTTCATGGCTGTTACCCAGTCCCAGTTTTCATAACTTAGATGTTATAAATTTTTTAATGGTGTATTTATTTATAAGTCTGATTCGTTTCCTGTAATTTTAATAAGTGTAGAGCGATTTTGTATTTTCAATAACTAGAAGCTATGCATCATGATCAGATAGCCCATTTATCAATGGTCCAATAGAAACCGAACAGTGTGAAGCATGTATGATATAGGTTAAACGGGCAAGATCAAAGTAAACGTTGTGACCAGTTGAAACGAAGCCCGATTTTTTTATATTTACCAGTCCTCTGTTAACTAAACTGTATTAAATATGATGAAACTATTGTCAGAATCGTGTAATGTGATTTTAATTCTAAATACTTACCGCGAGAAACGCAATTAATACCAAAATTCCTCCACAACAGAGTGTAGAATAAATGTCTAACATAATTTATAAAAAACCTGCTTTAAAAAAATACATGGATAATTTCATTCGCAGACACCAAAATTGACTTTCCAGCCACGTAACGTCACATGTATCATGTACGTGTATATTAGCACAAATCACAGTAAATAAAATACATATCGGTAACTTAACATTTGCAATGCACGTACAGGCAACCAACCAGTATTTTCTGTGCCAACCACAGAGTATAAGCTTATTTATTTGTGTGAAGTTTATTTAACGACGTTTGTTCAGTAGTTCCGACGAGCGTCGAATGAGAGGATGATAGTGAATAATGAACTGTAAAGCATGTAGAAAGAAGCGGTCGTGACCTACTGCCCTGGCATTTGCCTGGAGGGACTGAGAAAAACCACGAAGAAACCCTGTGAGGGAAGCCGGTCTCCGGGCAAAGATCTGAGCCGGGGATCACCTGAATACGAAGTAGGAGCGTTAACCACTCTCCCACGACGTTCGGTCACGAGTAAACTTATAACACATGCAGAAAAGCTGTATGAACAGGATATGAAGATGGCTAGTTCTGAATTCTTCTTTGTAGTCTGGTAAAAATTTACCATCGTTGCATAGGTCCTTGCTTCCTCCAATATTAGGTTGGTAAACCTTTACTAGACTACACAGTGTTTCAACTCAGAAGACGGGCATCTTCATACTCATCACCACGAAAACTTCAAATTTGATAGGGTGGGTTTTTGTCCTGTGATGATAGCCTTGATAATCTCAAATTCACACCATATCTAAATGCCATGTCATGACACTTTACCTCATAACAATTTCATCGACACCATTTTAATTACATTTATTTTGCCTGCAAGCCATTTCAGCTACCTACCTTTCATTCATCTATTCCATCAACTACGGGTCCTTCCACTCAAAAAGTCCAGAAAATGTGCTAATAGCACCAAATTCTGTACTACTTTGCATTCAAAAAGCAGAGCCCCTTCAGAGTTAGCACATGCATTTTGACAGCTTTGAAAGTACACTTTTTTCACTATTACCAGGGCACTCAAAGTACTGGCTGATCTATCACTGTTTCCCACTCCATCACATCAGACAGACAGAGCAACTCTCATAATGCAGAGAATTTATTCATTTATACTCCAAGATGCCCTACAGGGTTTTTATTGGGGCAAACAATCAATCAACTCTTCATCCTTTTGTTCTTTATACCAAGATTTAACACCTGTAAACATTGTTCTTTGTTTAATACTGGCTACCTTGATGATAATACATTACCATTTTATACATTTTAAATTACACTATTACAACATCTGTGCACAACATTTCCTAACCTAAAGAAATACAATAGGAAACACTGGTGAGACTGTCTCCTGGGATATTGCACTGAGTAGCCTGGTAGAAGTTTACATTATATTTTGTCCAAGAAGAACAAATCTTCAACTGCAAGAAGGTTGCAGATCAATCTGATATGGCACTTCCAATTCCAGCAACTTGTTTCAAGCCACCAAACTCTTAGGACAATCAGTACAGCTATTATGTCTCTGTCCACATCTTTCACAACACACCAAATAGTAAGGAAACTTGAGCCAAAACAGCACAGATATGCTGGTATCACAAAGTATTATATCACCTATGAGTATGACGGTCATTAGCGAAATGGTATGGTTCAAGAAAGACAAGAACATGTCTTCTGGCTATAGTTATCAGTATTAAGAACAAGCATTGACAACGTTAAAAATAATAAGTAGACTACAATCAACTCAACTGCTGAATACACGTGGCTGTCACCATTAAAAACAGTAAACAAGACCTAAACACTGAATGTTATGGACAAGTGGTTAGCACTTCTGCTTCATATCAGGGAGGCCCTGGGTTCAAATCTCAGCCTGGAAACCACCTATCCTGACCAATTTTCCTCAGTCCCTCCAGGAAAATGATCCTTTCCAACTCATTATTCACTACCAACCTCTCATTCAATTCTGACTAATATTTTCTTCACAGCATATACGTATATGCCTACTACAGTACATTCCGTGATAAATCAGAATATGTCACTTCCTGGCTTCCGGCAGAAACTGCGATCAGTTGATTTTATTGCTTTTATGGACTGATACTTGCATTTTGTTTTATCAGTGAATACACTGCAGTTATACATTTAAAGTGAAGCATCCCAAATGACAAATTTAAAAATTTTGAAATCTGATTCACTTAGAAAGAAAATTTGTCTCTTTCACACCCACTACAAAGAATTTACAAAATTACAAGGTATAGTTATAGTTGACTGGACTGTCCCATTTATATGACTGTTCCCACACAAACCAACAAATGACGTAATTAAATTAAAAACTACAATTATTTGGTTCAGCTGTAACTAGCAGTAGCATTTCCTATATTACAATGTAATGTAATATTAAAAATATATTAAAATTGGCCATCAATCACAATATAAGATAATTAAAAGATTAAAATATCATTTTACGTTCCTTATCGAGTACTCGATTTACATGTGGAACATTTACGACATGTTTTGGCTATATATAGCCGTCATCAGGTGTTATATTATAAACTTTTTAACTGAATTACTGATTTTTACTGATATTTAATGATTTTTAGTTTTCATTTTTCTTATCGTGTTCTCATCCTTCATATTGTATCTTCATCGGTTGTTTTGTCGCCTGTCACTAATATGATTGTATTTCGTAGTGATGTCAAAATGAAAACTAAAAATCATTAAATATCAGTAAAAATCAGTAATTCAGTTAAAAAGTTTATAATATAACACCTGATGACGGCTATATATAGCCGAAACATGTCGTAAATGTTCCACATGTAAATCGAGTATTCGATAAGGAACGTAAAATGATATTTTAATCTTTTAATTATCTTATATTGTGATTGACGGCCAATTTTAATATATTTTTAATACTTATAAATCACAATATGACGCATCTACAATATCTTGTAATGTAATATGCATTATGCCAGATTCACATTCATCAGAACAGGGAGGTTGGTATATATTAAGATAGGTAAGGTTCTTATCACACATTCTACCTCCCTACATCATAATACGAGCTTCCGATTGTACTTAAAATAAAATCATGTTCTTATTTATGTTACATCATTCCCGAATTTCTGTTTCCACAGATCATACTACTAAACCTGATTCGTATTTAATACACAAAAGTGTTGTGTGCTTACTTATTTCTAGGTTAACAGTGGTAATAGGTCACCAAGTTTGTCTATATAGTAGTCAGGTACAAGATCATGATCTTCCTTATTATCTGATTCTTTCCAGTTCATAACATCTTCTAAAGTATTCACACCGGTTAAAACTAACAAGGTCTTGAAACCGCATCGGGTGCCGAGAAGTATGTCCGTGTTACACCTAAAAGAGAGAAAAAAAATACTATTTATTTACTGGTGTATGATTTATTTAGTGACTGCCAATGATTCATATAATGCACAAAACTACAGGATGATTAACCGTACAGCATGATGCGGAGGCACTATGTGAGAGTATTCGGATTGTACTCCAAGGAAAAGTAACATTACATCAATTTTGAACTGAAATAACTTCCATGTTTTTTGTTCAACTGGAATGAAATTTAAAAAGAAATAACTTCCATGCTTTTTGTTCAACTGGAATGAAATTTAAAATGTACTCCCTTCGTGTTCTAGATTACTCATGTGCGTTTTACATTACCTCAGAAATTCTGCTTTGTGCAGTAAGCTTCAAAACACCCATCCATGCACAGAACAATACCACAGTCATGACAACAACAGTCTCTCTTCTCTTGTCGCACTCGCTGCAGACCACACACCATCTTGTTGCCTTAGATTTCATTCCTACTGGAAGTACTTTTTCTAGGAAAATGCCATTCTGTAGGTCTCCTTAGAGTACTGTCATCACCATGGCAACCTGGCACTTCACACAGCATGAAAGACTTCATCATGAACTCTTTCAATAAAATTTATTCTGAATTTTAAATGGTAAATTTCCTGCCCTACATTTTCCCATATATAATAAGGGAACTGAGAAATGTGGTGTTGAGTAGCCTTCTGAACAACTGCATGCCCGCTTATTCATTATTTTCCTCTCTGTTCTGTAGCAGTTAATATTTCTTATCAATACGAGTCATGTTTTGGTTATAGCAAATCATACCCACCTCTTTGTTATGGTGTGGACATTCGCACTATGGTAAGTCCAGATTAATATCATACTCTACTTGTCACTCCATTTCATGACGCATACAGGACCATCATTCAACAAAGTAACTTCGCTCTTCTCTAGCTTGCTTTCTTTCTTTCACCTTCGTGGGCATATTCTTTCTATTTATATTCACACGCACACAGACAGACATACTCGATCATGCACACATACAACAAAAGGACAATAAGATCATCTATCCAGTGTCGGAGAAGGCCTACAGTACTGAATAAACCATAAGATTAAAGTACAAAATCGCACGTGCACAAGCACTTGAACAGAACTTTTCAACACACTGATCCTTCTCATAATAAAAGTTAATAAAATTCAGAAATAAATTAAAGGAAAACCAGAAAACTCTAGGAAGATGTGCTTGAGCTCAAGGAATCATATCCATACCCATAACTTTCCCTATCAGTCACATATATGGATGAGATGGGCTATACGAAGTACGGAATGACTATTACCTGTCTCCAATCATAAGAGTCCTCTTAGGATCAACATTATATCGTTTTCTTATTGCGTTGATGATGTAAGCACTGGGTTTCCCAATTAGAAATGGTTTCCGACCTACACAAGTCTCAATGGCTGCCACCATGCTACCAGTACCTGTAGAAATAAAATACTGACAAAATAATATATTATTAATTAATATTAATGTACTGTAAAACCTAAGCAGGATCTGAGGTTCTCACAGTCACAAGTATGAAGTTTGGCATCTTCTGGGATAAGATCCAAGTAGTTTTGATAGAAGTTTATCAACTTACTGCTTCTATCATCATTGCCCTGATAACGGAGGCAGCAAGTACCTCTGAAACATCAATAAACTTCTGCCAGACCACATGGCACTACACCCCAGAATACAGCCATCTTCATGATGTAAAACCTGCTTAAAATGGAAATTGTGCGTAAGTACGGCAGAATGAATGTGAGAGACTTAGTCCTATGTTTCTTTACCTGAAAAACTTGGTCTCTGACCCAAAGGGTAAATTATATATATATTTTTTTCCTCTTTAACATTTGTCCCGCCTTGACAGGGTCTGCTTTTTACCTCTCTTTGGAGGTTTGCTTGATCTATGGGACATTTGGTAGGACTCCTTGGTCGAGTGATATTCTCGTCGCAAGGCCTCTACCTTTACACAGGACAGCACAACACAGAAAGACGCGGACAAACATCCATGCCTTGAGTGGGATTCAAACCCATGGTCCCAGTGTCCGAGCGGCACAAGGCCCACGCCTCAGACCGCGCAGCCACTGTGACAGCTCCAAGGGTAAATTACAGATTGAAATTATTTGAAAATTAGGTCCTGAGCAGACTATTGGACCTAAGAGAGAAAAATAGGAGGTTTGAGAAAACAGTAAGTAAGAATGCCATAATTTCTACTCTTTACCACATATTAATGGGATGATCAAGTCAAGGAGGATGGCATAGGTGGGGACATGTAGCAAGCATAGAAACGATGAAAAATACACAGAACGCTGCAGAAAGAGACCACGTAGGTAAGCAAAAATTAAATGGGAGAATAATATTCACCTTTGTCTGCCATGCATCATGGTTTAAATGTGGTCCTGGTAGTCATAAATTTAAGTAGCATATTGCTTAACCAACTGACCCTGGAGTGCTTTTTTCTTCTTCTTCTTTTTTTTTAAAAAAAGGTGTTCTGTCTGACGACAGGTCCATATGAACAGGATCCTTCCATCCTTTTCTCTTCTCGGACTGGGACCTGTTCATATACGTTCTTGGCAGATGATCCAGAAGTGGTTTGCCATTGCCTTCGTCTGTGTGTGAATGGAGTAATTGTTGGGATGCCACAGAGAAACCGGGGAAGCCCCCGGAGGAAAACCCCGTGTTGCCTAACGAGTAAAGTTTTTCAAATTTACAAATTCGTTTTGGGTGTCTGAGGAGAGGTCCATATGAACAGGATCCTTCCCTCCTTTTCTCGGCCTGGGACCTGTTCATATACGTTCTTGGCAGATGATCCGGAAGTGGTTTGCCATTGCCTTCTTCTTTGTGTGAATGGAGTAATTGTTGGGATGCCATGGAGGAAAACTCCGTGTTGCCTAGACCACGGCCTTGCCCAACACAAGTTATAAATTCGGGCACCGCCGGGAATCGAACCCGAGACCCCAGGATTACAAGGCCAGCGTTCTAACCGCTAGACCAGATTATAATCCCTTATTCCCATATGGTAAAAGTTAAAATGGATCTTAATCCTTTAAAACCCAGTGGAAAATGTGTCTCCCACCAGCATTAAAAATCAGTAACTGCACTTTGTATTTTGTGCATCTTTTATAATTCTCACTGCTTCAAAGAGTTAAAGAAATAAGGTTGAGGATGCAGGCTGGCTCATGCGGCTCAGGAGAGAGTCCATTAACGAGCTTTGTGTACAGACTAATAATCAGTGCCCATATTTCTGGAGCCCTGGTTGCAAAATCTTCAGCACAGTCCAAATCTAACTATCCTGTGATTTACGCATCATCAGAAAGTACTTAAGCACCACAGATTCCAATTGTGCATTAAAATGTGGCAGGTTGTGTGTGCATGAACGATTCACCAGCAGATTATGGAATTCTATGAGAAAGGCATCCGGCACTTGGTGACTCAGTGCGTCTCATTGATTACAGTGACTGCGTGATGGCCAAATCAATCTCCGGACATCACCTTTGTATGGATTTCTGATGAACCTCCCTTACATTTCCATGGTCTAATCTCACCTGAGAACACTTAACCATTTTTTCTTAAAGGTACAAACTACATGACAAACAAGCAGAACACATTACACAAAATAAAGTTTGCATAATTGTTAGATTTGGCAATGAATATTGCAATTACATTCACACTCACCAGGAATAACACAGTCATTGATGACACAAGGACCCCTTTCATCCATGTTTGTAGCGATGAAGAGACAGTCTGGGTTATTTAAGTAGCTCGCTGCCTTCAGGATCTTGGGGTAGCTGAAGTATTCATCAAATCCTACAATGACTGCACCCACATCTGGATCTTGTTTGAAATCCTTCATTACCAGTTTTGCCACATCACCGACTAGAGGATCTGGCTGTGAACAATAATTTAAGAGCAAGGATCAGAATGAAAGGATTCTGAACCTAGTTCTACGGTGCTGGAGATATGGACTTAAAAAACTGTCAAATCACTGTAAGTTTCTTCACATTGTATCTCATTCACTTACCCCAACTCCAAAATTTTTAATGCCCAAAAGATTGAGTTCTCTGGAAATTCCACTTGTGCCAACAATATAAGCCTTTTTCTTGAAGCCAATATCATGGAGATAGCAGGCCGTAAGATACGATGTAGTGAGTACATCATCCTAAAAGAAATATAATATTAATGAAAATCACTTATTAAAGTGACATTCTGGTAGGCAATACAAATGAAACTCAACATAGTACAGAAAACTGCACAGAATCGAACAACCAAAAGTTTATATGGAAAATTAATTGAAAAGTGGCATACAAGCATGAGACCCAATCAAAATTTTTGCTTGCTTACCTAAATAAGTCGTAGAAAAGACATTATATAAAGTAAAAATATCTCTAATTTACTGTTAGTTCAACTAGGATTGTAAACATATTTTTTGCAGACACTTGTCATTTCCGATAATTAGAAAGTAACAGCTTGGCATTACGTGCTCATTTTAATAACTGCAGTTCATTACATACTCTGCATATTACTGACATTTTTTTCTGTTATTATTTATTTGTACCATGCAGTTTGACTTAGAAGTTCGTTATAATTATTCCTGCTACGTTCTTGAGACGGAGATGACTGCCTACAAATATGGAGGGTAACTATTAATTTATTGAATAAACAGTCACACCAGCCAATGAGTGGTCCTAAAGTTGGTGACTGAACAAGGGACTAACAACCTCTCACCCATACAGAAACTTAACAAGTTACAAAATGTTGGGTATATGAACTTAACACGTTTCAACAATCCATTATGACTTGACAGATATATTATGTCATGAAACATACAACTTGAATATAATTAGTGGCATTCAAAATATTTATTTTATTATATGTAATAAAATTTTAGTTATGTTACATTAAACCCATCGTATAATTAGTGGCATTCAAAATTTTTATTTTATTATATGTATTAACATTTTAGTTATGTTACATTAAACCCATCACAAATATTCAGCAAGGGAAATGAATATATGAGTCAGTTCTAAAGGACTCTAAAGGTATAGTTCAATTAGTATAACTAGGTTCCTGTACTATGTCATCTAATGTACAAAGGAAGGCAAAATGTTTCAAACTGACCATGCACGTTCAGCGTCTGAAGTTTGCACGTACGTACACACATACAAACATACGTACACCAAAAGAGAGGTACTTTGCATATTTGAAATTCCATAAGTGACATTTCATTTATTGGGTGAAGCAGAATAATAATTTCCACTAACTTTCATTGACCTGTATCCTAATTTATCACATTTTACAAGAAACTCCTCCCTAGTGATAATATTGTTATTAGTGATGTAGAACACACGTTTTCCCATCTCACGGAATTTATTTAAAACTTCTGGAGCTCCAGGAAGTGCCTTTGTATGTAACCACAAAACACCTGGAACAGAAGCATTGCAAGTTTTGAAAATTACTTTACAATATGACTGCAAGTAAGTGATACTGCTTACAAGTTCCACTACAACAATATTCAATTATTCGTTATAAAATACCGGTACCAAGAATTAGGATTCATTTTTAAAACTCACAAAGAATGTAATTTGAAACACGAGAGATATTCAAATGAACAGTCTGATATGTTGAAAATTCATCAGTTACTACTTCCAAAACAAACATAACATAATCTTTTATTTTTACTAAAATGAAGTAGTATATGAAAAAGCATTATACTGCTTTCAAAAGTTAAACATGTACAACTGTCTATAAAATAAAGTGCTTCACCATCACAGTCTGTCAGTACAGTGTCTATGGAGCTAAATAGAGCTTCCACTTCATCTCTGCTTAACCTAGACAGATTCTTGATTGACATTCTTATTGATCCTGCAAAAACAAAAAAGAAACAATGTCATTGTTGCTGTGCATTATAATAACTGTACTACTTGTGGTTTTCATTTTCACTGTAATAAAGATAATTTCCAAGTAAATACATAAAGTCAAAAAATTTCAGATGTTCAATAAAACCGATGCCAGCTGAATGTGTGGCATACTGATAACTGTTAACACTGGAGTTAGGCCCCATAATATTGAGATTAAAATTCCCTATTCCCATATGATAAAGGTAAAGATAGCCATAAATTTGTATCCATGTTTAATTAAACACCACACCATAAAAATGTTTACAGTCAAGGTATACCTCTATACATTCTTAACTGTTTAATCATTTTAGGGAAAATAGACATTAGAAGTGTTTATAATAAGTTGTGTTCCTAAACCTCTACCAGACAACACAGTGCTACAATACAGAAAATACAGCATTTTTTTTCTCAATGTTGTAAGAATCTCAGATCTTACTACATTACATAAAAACTAATTACCCATCTCACGCTGTTCTGGAGTTCTTTCTAACCTACATGATGGGGCAGACATGAATATAAGCAAAGATTTAAACTCATTTTCATAGTTAAGGTTTGGCTGAAAATTACTTTAGTTCCTCACTTCAAAAGCAGTTTCATTAATTCCTCTTTTTGCTTTGGCATACACCATATGCTACAACAGTAAGAGGTGAAATTTGTTCCACAAATTTAACTTGCTAAAAAAGAAAGCATACCATTTGTTATTGATATGGCATAAACTAAACACTGCCATTCAGTACTTATTTGCAACGAATGTTATTTGACATATTATTATTATTATTTCTGTGGTCCTAACAGTTGATGGCATTTCAAAAATCCATCTAAAAAGAAATTGTTTCATTACGTAAAAGTCTAAGTTTTACTGATTTATATAAAAATGTTACAAGTAGGTGACACTTACAGTAAGCCCGATTAAAACTGACAGACAATGACACAAGAAACAAATGTCATTAGTTTGGCCAGCACTATCATTAGCTATACATTTACTTTTAAAGGTTATCTATGAGCTATATAACCTTTGGCCGCCAAGTCTCTGTGGGAATCGTCTGCTTTCAGCTATTGACAGGTAAGGACATTCTGTATGAAGATCACAATTTTACAAATTCTTCAAGAATTTGGTGGACCAAATTTTACTTTCATCGACTTACTAAAGGCATTCGCTCCGTAGTATTTAACCGATTTTGAAACTGTAGTAACTAACGTAAACATTTTACGTGCTCTATTAACAAGTCTGTCTTCCGCATGACACTACAGACCGCACGTCACAGCATAGACTTTTGCTAGCATTATCTGTGATTTAAACCAAACAAAAGAAATCAATTTGTTTCGATTTCTGTCATCAGGTATGCCAATCCAAAAAAATTTCCTACTGCAGTATTTATACCGTCAGGGCTGTGATTGAGGCCTATAACCTATATACACTACTACAAATACAAAGTTGTCATCGCATGAAAAGAGTAAAAGCCTCTAAGCAATCGCTATCCATTGTGGCGTTCGCCATACAGTCGAAAATGAGTCCGTAATGCTTCAGATAAACTCCTTGTGCATGAAAGAACAGACGAAAAACTTCGTGTCATTCACGAGAAACTGTAACTGCCAAATGGCCGAAATGGAATGGCAAAGATAATTAAGAACTGCTAATCTAGTGACTGGACATCCTGGTTCGGGCTTTTCATGGGCCTCCTCAGCCCTTTCAAGCAAATGCCAGAGAATAGGGCATTGTTATATAAACCATGAAGTAGTCAGAAACATTTCTACAATTGTAACAGTTCAAGTACTAATATTGAAAAGTAAACTTACCTAGTGTAAAACTGAGCAAATTCAATTTGCAGTTTGGATTTTCTGAACTACAAACTATTTATCAGATAAGTCACAGATCATGACTGTAAATTCTTGCAGTCTGAGCTGCTTTACTGGTTTGTCATGTACAAAAGACTGGGCGAGTATAGGAAGCAGTAACCCTAACAGTTTTGCGTCACCGTGTTATCTAATCTCAAATTCAGTTATCCTCATTATGTACAGAGGGCTTAACAATCTAAATCTGACAACACATTCTAGACCTTGACAATAAATGGAGGTGACTACTTGGCTTTGTACTTCTCAACCACTTTATTTCCAGGGAATGAGCTCTAGGCATAAGTTGGGTAGACAGGAAGTTGCTTGGGCCTCAGGGTCCCTTTGGAACTTATGACGAAGAGAAGAACTGTCTGAAAATATTGTGTTACTTCGACGAAACTTGACCCAAGCAGGTAAAATCAAACACACAAGATTTTCTGTGCTACAAAATATAGTTTACTGTTATCTTGCATTAGTGTACTAAAACTGGTAAATGAATAATGTGCAACGGCATAATTCTCATACAAGTTGCTCAGAATTTGAATATCAAGGACTTTGGTGGAGGAATCATGTATGGAATTAGAAACATTTTCAGTCTCAGAAAATTTTCACGTAGCTACACCATTATATACTCTCTCTAAAACACTGATTTTTCATCTCTTATACTTTCACTTTTAAATAGGAAAAGAATGAACATGGTAATGCTTAACAGTTACAGAAAATCTAGAAACACGAGAATGGCATTTGAAGAAAATGCTACATGCAAATATATTTAAATTCCATGACATTTTTAAGTACTACTTACAATCAGAAAAGATAAATAATACAGAACACAAGAATGGCATTTGAAGAAAATTCTACATGCAAATATATTTAAATTCCATGACATTTTTAAGTACTACTTACAATCAGAAAAGATAAATAATACATATATCTGTACATAACAAGTTTTCTGTGTTAAATCATGTGAAACTAATGATTCATTAACCAACGCACACACCAATAATTTCTTTTTAAAAGCAGTTCCTAATATCTGAAAATCTCAAACCATATAGTGTCAGATTTAGTTTTCTGAATACTGACAATTGTCTTACATTATATTTAATTATGCCTGCATTCTTTTGTTTTCTTGAACTCCAGCTACTGTTCTGTAAGTGTTATGATAATAATGGCAGCATGTCTCCAAGTCTGTCTATGTAGTAATTGGGAACCAAATCTTGGTTCTCTTTACTGTTTGACTTCCTCAACTGATGAACTTCTTCAAGTGTAGTAACTCCAGTAAGAACCAGCAAGGTTTTGAAACCGCAACGATTTCCAAAAAGTATGTCTGTACTACACCTAAAATTAAAACACACAAAATAATAATCACCAGAACGAGACAGCTGAACTACATTATGCTGTAAAAGAATTTCCAAAGATATTCTTTCCTATAATCCTTTCATAACCCAAATATGTAACTTCTCTACCTCTGTAGAACTAGAAAACCTACCATCTTGAGAAGCATGGTATCACCTATGTGCCAGTCAATCTGCGCACACTGGAGACTGGTCGTATGTTCCGTTGCCTCCGTTTCTTTGAAAAGGGCGGTCTTCGACATCATTAAGGCCATGTGAGTTTGCCAGAATGTCATTACGTGTGCGGACAATTTACAGCAAAATCACAAACACTGGTTTGTAATACAGTAAAACAAGTCTATTATCAAAACTTTGGTTGTCACTTGGGAGATCAAGACAAAAATTTTGACACCATATGTAAGCTACATATCCTGCTTTGTGAAGTTTACTGGATGGATGATCTAGCATGAACCATCCAGTCACCTTAAATACTGCTATTTCTGACATGCAAACATTTTGTGTTCTTTGTAGAGCAGCAAAAATAAAATATAACACACAAACATTCAACCTGTAATGAAACCAGTGCAACACAGGGAAGACCTTCCTAATCCTCTACCACCAACCAACTGAAACAAACTATTCCTAATTAACAGTCCACCATGATGGTGGAGTATTAAGATTCTCCAAAGTGAAAGTCAGTGCCAACTAGATTACATACAGCAACATCCCAGATGACAGCCATCTTCATGCTCACTGCCATGAGAACCTGAAACCTCACTTACGTCAAGAGTTCTATCCAAAAGTCGTCTTACTCATCAACTGATATATTATTAGATTTTTAACCCTTTGCTGAATGTAACAAGCATATGGCACGGTAATATTAAATGCCCATACAATGCTTCGAATAAGAAAAGAAAATGTATGTTCAGCATTTAATAAAAATAAAAAATAAAAAAAATAAAACAAGGAAGAAAACAACAGAGATAGAAAGTAAGACTGAGGCAAAGGCTGAATCGTCAACTAACCTGACAGTGCCAAAATACAGTGAATTTAAATGATGCAGCAACGGGATAATGCTGATGTTTCAGTTCTACAGTTTCAGACTGTCAAACTAGAGTGTAACCTCCCAGATACGTCTACAATATTACCATTCCACAAACCTTTTCTGTTTCTTCTTATCAATTTAAACTTGTACTTACCTGTCTCCTATCATTATTGTTTTCTTTGGATCCACATTGTGTCTTTTTATGATTGCCTCACATACATAGGGGCTGGGCTTACCAATCTTAAATGCTTCTCTTTTTGTACATGTTTCTATGGCTCTGATAAATGTACCTGTTCCTGAAACACATGAAAGTTGAACAACGTTCAATGTAATTAACATCTGCAGCATTATTTACTCAGAGGCTAATTCTTAAAATATTCTGTTATATACACAGTAAAATCCTAAATTAAAAGTACCTTCCAAAAAACCAAAACTTCTGCATTACACCAGAGGGAGAACTGATTCCTGGACCTCAGGACTTTCATGATTTTCCATAGTCCTATATTACTTGGTAGGCTAAATTTTAATTTACATGCATTTTTACATGTGTAACAGTAGTTTACAAAGTGTGGAATTAGCAATGAGGCCTTTACTCCTGTTCTGTTACATTGTTGTTAAATAAATAAATCCGTGGCATAACAGCTCCAGAGAGCCAAAGCCGACTAGCTTGACTGCTGGCCTCACGTTCACATGCCTAAGCAGAGGTGAACGATCATCCAACCAGATACAGGGTGACGTGTAGTCAGCACAACGAACCCCCAGCCATTGCTAGCTTTCCTGACTGGATTACGTTACTCATTGTAACTCCCCAATTTCCTCACGATGCTGGGTTAGCACTGGTCCCATACACTGGTCAAAAGCTCATGAGAAAATTTATTTTCCCCCCCGAGACTCGAACCAGCTCGCATTCCATATCGCCGGTCCCAAGCATGATGCCTCAGACCGCGCAGCTACAGCCGGACGTTATATTGTTGTTATCTGTATTATATTAAAATTAGTTTCATGTTTGCTTGCATTTGCATTCACAGGGGCCAATACATTCTCAGTAATGATACTAGATGTAAAGAATGTTCTATTCTACAAGTGTTGCCACAATTAGGCAGGTTTTAGAAGTGACAAAAATGTGGAAGCAATGTACTATGTAACTTGGCTGATCTTTTCCATTGTTTCCTAAGTCAAAATGGTTGGTAAGCCAAGATTAAATCCAAGCACTCCCGAATATGAAGCACTGTTACAAATTTCATATTTCTGTGATGTCACAAACATCAGGCTCCTTGCAATTTATAAATTATTAACACTGGCCACAAAGCCAATTTGCATTTGTGACAGAGTTAATTCACTTTACCTGGCACTGTCAGAGGAAACTCAGTGGGAAAAACCTCATCTGTGTTGGTTCCAATGAAGGCACAGTCGGGCTGCTTGAGGTATGACGCAGCCTTTACCATCTTGGGGAAACTGAAGTGTTCATCAAAACCAACAACCACTGCTCCCACATCTGAGTCAAGCTGAACCTCATTCATCAGTAGCGTGGTCATGTCATTGCACATGGGGTCTGGCTGACATTAGTTGAAAAGTTCATTTATACTTATTAAATCAGCATTGTGAATAAGCAGCAAATCTTTAATAATGAACTGAAAAAGCCCACCCTGACAATAAAAAGAACTCTTACAGTAATAAAATTTCTTCAATCATGCAGGCAAAAGATTCAGAATGTACAAGGTCCTTGAACCTTGGACCTGACTGAAAATCTGCTATTATAGAATATATAAGTTTAGACTTATATGGATTGTGGTTTTACCCTGGAGGAGGTTGTGATGTATTCCTCCAGAATGTTTGTAGCCACCTACAAGACTATACAGTGTCAAAGCCCAGAAAACGATAATCCACATTTTCTCCATCATAAAAATCTCAAGAATGACCATGCATTCTGTAGTATAGCTATCATAACATTTTCAGGTCACCAACAATACCAAAACTTTTAATATTCTCCTGTCAAGTTCCATTTCTTTTTTATTTCCATCCATCCAATGGCACTACAGCCCAAGTTTGGGCCTTGGCCTCCTCCTCCTAATTTAAAAAAGTTTGTTAATTAAGAAAAATAAGTAAGTAAATAAATAAATATACACATTACATACCCCAACATCCAGATGCTCAATACCGGCTGCATCAAGTTCTTGTGTGATTCCCTTTGATCCAACCACATAAACTTTCTTCTTGAAACCTACATCTTGCAAGTAACATGCAGTTAGGTATGCTGTACTTAAGACATTATCCTGTGAACAGAAACTACAAAAATTTAATTCAAGTAAAATAACAACTCTGTGAATATCCCATATAAAAATTGGTGGGAGAAACAGAAACAAAGAACCAAGTCTTCCCATTTTATTAATGTTCAGGCTAGTTTGAACAATAAACATAACCTCTTTTCCCAACCATATTATTATTGAAACTTTATGATCACCTGTAAGATTTGAGGTTCTCACAGCGGTGAGTATGAAGATTTCCGTCTTCTGGGTTGTTGCGCCGTGTAGTCTGGTCGATGTTAACCAACATCAGGGTCCTGATGACGGAGACAGTATGACCTCTGAAATGTTGGTTAACATCAACCAGACTACATAGTGCAACAACCCAGAAGACAGAAATCTTTATGATCACCTCTTTTCATAATCATGCAGTCACTGAAACTTCTTTCTTTACCTCGTGTCCTAATTCGCCTACTTTTCCTGAGTTGCCTGCCTTTTCTTTCATCCTTCCACCACCTTTTATCTATTCCATAACTTCAAGTTCACTAAAAAAAGTTCTCCTAGTCATGTGCGCAATGAAACCTTACTTAATCACCACCATTCTTAACAACATGATCACTAAAAACCTTTCTTCACCACCTCTTTTCCCTTTTCACGGGTTTGCTAAAACATTTATCACCATCTCTTTTGCTAAAATACACATTTCACCACCATTTTTCCTATTCATGGGCTCCTGAAACGTATTTCATCACTTCTGCTCTTAATCACTTGGTCCCTAACAATATTATCACCTCTTTTCTTAACCATGTGGTTGCTCCCTACTGAATAGCACCTCCCTCCTCTGTCAAATCATACCTTCACCTCCAACATACTTTCAAATGCCTGATCTATATGAGGGCTTCAAATCCAGCCCCCTCCCCCATTCACCCTGAATGTTTTCTGTTCTTCATTTTCTACATGTGAAAACTATGGATACGGAAAAGTGCAAACAGATATACACACCTTTTCCGATGGGTACCCAAGCCTGCTGCATTTTGAAACAAATTCTTCTCGTGTCTTACTACTGTTGTTGGTAACATAAAAGACTCTTTTCCCGATTTTCAGAAGCTGACTGATGACATTAGGAGAGCCTTCAATCAAAGTGTTTCCAAGCCAGAGGACACCTGAATACAAAAGTTTGCTTTCTTCACAATTCAATAAATATTCACCTTCAAGAAGAACCCATCTGAAGATTGGTGGAAAAAAGGATAAATGATATTTTTATATTTTTTCTGGAGTAACAAAAATTGTTTTAAATATTTAGCATTACATGCATTAATTGTAATATCTTAATAAGCATATTTAGATATTTTAAAGAACAGCACTTTGAATGAATTATGTTAATTTGTTCTAGAAAAAAAAATTAATTTTATTAATTTAGATATCCCCTTTCTGCTGTAAAATTACAAAATATATATTTCTCTTCAACCTATCTTACTCTAAACGATATTTATTAATGGTTAATATGACTTATAATCCATGTCCTGGACAGAAGACAGATTTTGGTGATTTGTAGTGGAACATTTCACACTTAAGGACATACTGTTCAGCTTGCTCCAGTTTGTCCTTTCTATACAAAGGCACTTTCTACAATCAAACAGATGGTGTCACCAAGGGTTTTACCCTTACATAAAGGAGTGTATTGGTAAAGATGTGTGAATGACACGTTTGCTGTATGGCCTCATAAAAAACTTCCAAGAAATCCTGAAACATCAACCCAGCACAGAAGAGGGCAATGCTAACAAAAATCATTCAATGTGCATGGATGATCTGCGATGCTGGCAGTCTTGACATGAAAATCAAACTCCAAAAGAAGACCTTCAGACAAGACAGATACAGCAACCAAGACATCAAGCAGACTCTCCACCACAAGAAAAAGTGAAACCATATTGCCTTACCAATGAATCATATCAAATAAGACTAGAAGAGAGCTGGATAAATACAACATAAAGACTGTCCCCATTCTGGCTAAGAAAAATGTCAGTCTTCACAGATTAATTAAGGACAAACTGGGTCTGAAGGTTGCTGGTATCTACCTTGTGAATATGGTAAAATTTGGGTGTGGCAGACTGGCAGAAATGTCAAGGCTAGGTGCCAAGAACGTATGGGGCATGTCTACTATAAGCAACCAGAGAAGTCAGCACTAGCGAACTACTGCACTGATACTGCACACACTATCGATATTGATGGTATCTGCATACTAGGGATAGCTACAAGGTACATCTGGTGAGGGAAGCTATCAAGACCCAGCTACATCCAAACTTTAAAAGGCATGAATAAATGAAAGGATTTTCTGCCTAAAAGATACAGAAATACTGTAAAACAATTGCTGATATCTGTCTAAATGCCAGTAAAAAATTTAAAAAAAAACTTACCATGACTGGAGATACGAGAATAACGAGGAAAGACACGAGATGATTGAGCCACCCCAGAAAGACTTTGTTCTTTTTTGTTTCACTAATCATAACTGAAAAGGGTTTAGAAATTTGTTGGTAAACCATTGGTAGGAAAGTACTGTTCTTGCCAACAACATAAGCAAATGTAATTAGCAACATGCCAAAACAGCTAGGGTGACTCAGTCACTCCCTACAACCAGTCCCAGGTTAAGCAAAAGTGTGATTTCAGCCGTTTTGAAATTATTCCCTTTTTGCACCAATATCTTCACTTACTAAAGGGCGCTTCATCAATTCTATTCCTTGAAGCCTCAAGCTGCAGCAAGTTTTTGATTTGCCTGAAACTACCACAGGCAAATAATGCAACACACTACACAAAATACACATTTCAGCATTTTCTTCTGCACCTCCAAGCACACAAAGTTAAAAATGTATATGAACAAACCAAATGCCATTCGCTTGGATTTTAAGGCCTGCTATTAAGTGCTGGAAAATTTTTGCAGAAAATATAATTTTCATGGTAGGATTTGAGGTTCTCATGGCAGAAAGTGCAAAGATGACAGTCTTCTGGGATTTGTGCTGCATAGTCTGGTAGTTTACAACTTTTCACAGGTCCTTGCTGCCTCCACCACCTTTTCCACTGCCCTGATGATGGAGGCAGCAATGACCTCTGAAACGCTGAAGACAGCCATCTTCTTAATTTTCGAAAGGCAAAATTTAGTACTAAAATCAAGAATGATATTTCACACTTCCCATAATATCTTCAAATACATTCACCTGCACACACTTACATATTAATATAAATAACTGCATGTTATTAATACCTTTGTTAACTAAAATCAAGAATTATATTTCACACTTCCCATAACTGCATGTTATTAATACCTTTGTTATAATTAACCACTCCCAACGAAGAAATTATTTTTAAAATCATGAAATATTTGTATGTGCCTCTCCTTTCCTAACAGTTTATAAATATGAATATACATTCACAGTACATACCATCACAGTCTGCTAACACGGTGTCAAAAGAATCAACAAATTTTCTAAATTCTTCTTTACTCAATGAAGTCAGATTAATTGCAGACATTTTTCAACTCCGCCCTCTTTACCACAGGTTAATACCTATCACACGTAATACCAACAAAGGATTTCTGCATTAATACTCTCTGGAATATAGGAATGGTTCCTTCGAACTAAATACTCACTATTATTCGAACGGTCCGCTCACTGACGGAATACGAATAATCCGCATTAAGAATGGATTACTCCTCAACGAGCCTCGTGAACGTAATTGTACCCACAAACCTACCTGCTCAAAGTCACAAACGAATGGAGCACGATGTCCCTTTGCTACAAGTTGTCATGTGTGTGCGATATGTGGAGACAAGTGGGGGAAAGACGAAAATATCGCCAGCATTTACAGATTGAATTCTTAATCGTAAACTTTGAGTTACACAGCATCACATATTAACAACGCGAAAAATACCAATAAATTCTCTGCCCATTCGGAGGGGTTGGTACAACCACATGGAGGGCATTTAAAACATCATATATATATACACAACCAACGGAAATGCAGATTAGAAATATTCACGATAAAGAAAAGGTGATTTATAAAAACAAACACAGAATACGAATCTGTGAACCTAGGGCTGTAGACCATAATTTTTTTATTTGTATTATATTAATTAACTTGTTTTTTGCCAGCGATAATGACCTCTTGAGGTCGAAATGCTTGGCATTAGTCTCCAAAGTGTTAACAGTTTTGTTTATATACATGCTTTATATGTGATCATATAAATAATTTCTACACATCATTTTGTCTTTACTTTACAATACAATATGGGCATATCTCCATAACAAAGCGTTCCTGCATGTAAACTGATTATGATTTCTGAGTCTGGTAGTCATAGTAATCTGAAGAAGTGCAATAGTCCAGTATTTCTCAACTACTGTTACAAAACATTCCAAACTCAAACAAATGTATATACATTAAACAATATAGATCACAGCATACGGGAAGGGTACAGTAGTGAGAAATTGGTTAGCCCTGTTTTGACATCTCATCACACAGTGCTGTTTGTCTGTTATGCTGTTGCTGTTTCAATTTATTTTTAGATTTACTTATAATTGTTACATAATCCACTGTCTAACACACGTGACATATGGTCTTCCTGGAAATGTGCATCACGTAACAATCTCATCCCCAGTAAAACTTTGTATGGAAATATCATGATAATATGTTCTCACAGACCTCAGAAAACCTGGAGAAACTATCTTTATTCACTAAACAAGGAGTCATCTCTGAAATGCTGCAAATCCTGCATGTAATGAAAAAGTATGAAAGGGCTTCTAGGAGGCAGTCATGACTGCCTGAAGGTACTATCCCATCAAATGCCTGGAGAGACAGTAGAAAATCATAAAGATCTCTTGTAAAGCCAGTAAGAACACATTCACATGTGGCTATCTTAATACTGGACAACCTTCTTCAGCAGTCCATTCTCCTAATATGAACTGCGGTGCATATTTTCAGAACTAAAGTAATGTCCAGTCTCACAGTTCTCATCTGGCAGTGTTTGAAGAAGTGGTATCTTGCAAAACAACTTCTGTGTCAAAAATTTGCACTTCTAGCTGTCATAATGTTCAGAAAGACAAAGCAACTTTTGACCCTTTTAAATATTTTCCCCTCGTTCTTGTTTAACATGAAATAACATCTTGATCCTTGCGATGCCTAACATATCACCTGTCAAGGTAGTTACCAGCTCCTGACATCTGTAACAAAATGAACTATGATAAACCCTCGATTATCTGCGTGCAGATTACCTTTGCATGACTACATTTTTACATAAATTCTGACGTCTGAAAAGGGTTTACAACATCTTTCCATGCCCATGGGGGGGGGGGGGGG